CTGCCCTCCCTTAAGGGGCTGCCCCCCCTCGGCGCTGGGGCACCCGTCGGATCGGCTCCCGTGACTTTTCCGGGAAGGCTGGAGCTGGCACCGCAGGGAGCGGAGTGCTGGTGGCAGCAGCCAGCCCTGCCGAAGGGCTTCCCCTTGGCAAGCCGGCGAAGGTCGTTAGAGGCTGCTTCTGAAAAGGGTCTTTAAAAACAAAACTGGCGCAACAATGCACGTCTTAAAGGAGTTAAAAACACCTGATGGCAAAAAAAGGGGTACGTTTCCTCCTAAAGCATCTTTGCAGTGTGTTACCTTCCCTAAAAACCCTGTGTAACTTCATATTATTAGCCCATCACTGATATAAAGCGCCCGTCATAGCCTGGCCAGTGCGAGAAGTAGTTTTCGGCTTTATTGCTATGGGCCTTAAAAGGGAAAAAAACAAATTACTTGGCGAGTTACATAGTATGCATAGCAAAGCTGGCTTCTTCATCACATGCTCCAGTGATTTGTCAGATTGTTGTATATGGCAAGGTTGAGGCCTAACAGATAAGTCTGTGAAATACTGAGTAGCCTTAGTTTGTGCAGAATCAACATCTTTCATTTAGTTTGATATGCCATTAGATCCCGTATTTTCTGTTTTATTTGACTCTATGTCCTGAACTTCTGAAACTCCAATTGCTCAGAGTAGCCTCTCTGGTCACTCACTATTCAATAGCTGCTATATTTCATCTTACAGGGTATTACACTTCCCTTGTATCTGTATCACATGAATACATAAAGGTCTTCCAGTTAAAGCCACAAACCATTTCTACTAATCAGCCCAACATGTAAGTCAATCTTGATAAACAAGTGTTGTTCATACTGGTATTTTTTCCTTACCAACGCACCTAGCCTTCATCTGAGCTTAAAAAAAAAATCAAAACAAACAAATAAACAAAAACCCAGCAAAAAATGTTTTCTATCCCAGGTTGTAAGCCTGAATGATCACTTTGGAGAGTTTGAGAGGAAGAATGTGCCTTGCGTTAAAAGGTTTGCTCTGCAATTGTTTCAAGTGCTACCTAAAAAAAAAAAAAAAACCAACCAAACAAAAAAAAACCCAAACCCTTACAGCCTTTAAGGTTTTCAGTTCCTAAACCAGTTTCTGAAAAATTGCTCAAGAGAAATATAGGACTCGTGTCTCAGGCACAGGTGCAGTCAGGCACATCGGTCAGTTTAAAGGTGCTGCTGGAGGACTAAATCCCTTCCTCTGCCCAAGCGCTTTTCAGCGCGACCTTACCGTGTTTACACGATACATACAGCAGCTAAAGAGTTAACGCCGCCTTCTAAACACTTCACCTTCCAAACACTCTTAACTGCGCCGGCAGCCAGGGGGAACTGTTTTGACAGCGATGCTGACTATATTCTCAACCTTTCCATACAGCAGCAGGATGTTTTGTTTCGTCTTCTGCGTACGTTTAAGCTGTCGCCAGTTTCCAACACCCGACCGCCCACCTCCGCAGGTTACTCCCAGTTGGTAACCACGGTACACGGACAGAGCTGGTGGCCAAGGGGAGGGGAGAGGTGGAAACCCCAAACCTTCGTGTGGTTTGTGTGTTGCAACAGCAGGTTTCCTAAGAAAAAAAATCTCCAGAGAGACTGTTGTTAGAGTGGTATGTTAGAGTATATGTCACAGCCTTCAGTTCCACCCATTTCGTGGTTTCATGTACCAAAAAAAGCTGCAATTCTGTTCAGATAGTACATCCCCCGCTGTTTCCAGTGATAACTGTGTGCAGAAGATGCACTTCTGTTGTGACCTGGATTACATCTAGCTACAACGGTGGTGAAGGATTTATCATCACAAGTCAAGTGTTTTGGCCAAAGATCTGACTTCAAAAAGAGTAAAAGGAGGGACATTAAGTCACAATATTTTTTGTTTGTTTGTTTGTTCAGTAAGGCAATGCTTTGGTGTCTTGGAAATTCAGAAATCATTTTCATCCCTGTGTAGTTTTATGCGTAAAGAGCCAGGGGAAACCTGGGGAGAAAGGAGAAATCGAGTACACCAAAGAAAATTCTAACAGCTCCTGCATCTACAGCCCGACTGGCATAGTTCATTTCAAACAGCAAAGCCAGCTTACAGATGCTTGGAATCAGAATTTAGCTCTAATACCCAGGCTGCGTTCAGTCAAATATGTAATTGTGTTTAATGTATGCCTCTGTAAAACCCACACCCAAGACAGCCTGAAAGAAAGCTTAACCCTCTTTTTTTTTTTATTTGCTTATGCAGGAAACTATGCCCCAGACGCCAATATTTTCCAGCATGCTTGGTTCCAGTTGTAGTGGACAAGTGCAGCCAGATATGGGAGAGAGGTGCGTGGACCCTGTTTATCAGGATGGGAACCTTGTTTCTGGATCACTTGAGGCCTTGATAGAGCGCCTGGTGCCCACCATGGACTATTATCCAGATGTAAGTAGGCACTAAATGTGGGGTTTTTTTCCCCATGGTTTTCTTGCATTATTATCTGGCTTGGTACTTCCTCAAGAAATTCTACCTCCTTCTGATTCAAGATTAAGATGTAGGCTAAAGATGCATTTATTTTACTTGCAATATTCATTCACTAAATACATTGTTCAATGGGGATACTCTCCTTTCTGTTTTTAAATGAGAACACTTGTTAGAAAGATAAAGCCTTGTTGAACCCAAATGGGTGCCTTAAGAACCAATTAAAAGCAGCATTAGCCACAGAATTTGAAATCCCTCTAAGCTGCTTTAGCTCTAATGCAGCCAAGATTAACTACTAACCAGCTCCTGCCTAGGAAAGCAGACCTGAAATCAGCTCTAGTTGTGGGGTTTTTTTTCCCTCTTAATTTTTTATGTATATTCTGGTTTGGCTATCAAGAAAAAAAATATAGATTTTAATTAAAATGCTGTCTTTCTCAAGACATTTTAATGGGCAAGCACTGTAATAATGTATGTTCCTGAGCCTGAAAATGATTTTGCAACTGATTAAACATCCTCAGTGCAGTCCTCTGAAGTAAATACTATGTTTAACTCCAGGCCACACAGTAAGATTCTAAATCTAGGATATTATTAAGAGATCACTTTATCACTTCAAATGACCCCTTGTAGCCATCAATGAAAGATGTTACTTAAACAAGTTGCCAAAGATCAGAGCGGCTATATACCATATATTCCATCTGAGCTCTGAAAAAGTGGCAGCTACAGCAGAAGCATCCCAGCTCTCTGTAAACACTAACAAGGGGGCAGGAAATTGCAATCTTATTAACTTGTATGTTGAACTTAACACTTGTGGTAGTGGGCCATGCTGTATCTTGTTATGTGTTTCTCGGTCAAGTTTGTGTAGAACCTTTTACTATGGTTTCACATCAGCCAGGATAAAGCCCCTCCAAGCCCCCACATACGCACCAGCCATCTTCATAATCGCCATGCACAAAAAAGGGACTCCCTGTATAAGAGTTCAGTGGGTATAAGCAGCAAAATTGCCAGAAGTCATTAGTAAAAGATTTTTAAAAAGCAAACACAGGATGTTTTCATGTTCCAGTTCAAAAGTAGTCCAAAACCTTGCATTTAAATATGCTTAACGTACAATTGCACTACCTTTGACAGATGCTTAGTACCGCATCTTTTTTAAGACATGGAGGGATAACCATTTTCAGACAGTAAATCTCTGCTCCCCGCCCCCAAATACATATTGTAGAGCAGATGCAGAAGAAAGGAGCAGGTAGAACTGGTATGGTATACCGGTGGAATAGCTTTAGGCTGCTGTAGTTAAACCTTCCAAGGAGTGGGTTCCTTGTCTTTTGTGTAATACTAGAATCTAGTTACTCACTGCTTGGATTTCTGGAATACAGCTAAGTTTAAGTAACTGCTTATGCACATAGCTTATTGTAACTTAGGATCTATTTATAACGCAGCTACTCTGAAAATGGTTCCATAAAGTGAGCCTTACTTAAGGGGTCTACAACATACTTTGCTGCTAGTTTCCATGGTGCTCTCCCATACTCAATGTGAGGTAGCATCGCAAATCAAGCCATCGCTAACCCCACCCTGGGAGGCTGCAGTTTAAATAGACAGCAAGCTGTCAGCTGAGGGAGAGAATAGAAGCAAATCAAGCAAACTCCAGGAAGAAAGAGAGATGGAAAACAGCATTAAACTAAATTGATCTCCTCTACAGCAGGACACATTCTTTCAGTTAAATCAGATCACCCAATTTAGCTGAAAGGATTAATTATAGAATGAGTAGATAAATAAGCTTTGAACAACATGAAGAAGGAGCTGTATTTGAGTCATCTTCAAATCCAAGTTTTCTATTTCAGTACAGTTGCATGTTTATACTCAATTTCATGCTCATTTCTATTTTTAGGGAAGTTGCCACAGAGGGTTAGAGTGATAGCCATTTATGCTGATACCCTGTCAGAAGAGTATCTGTTACTGTATGTTCAAGAGAAAGGTATAAACACCTCTCAGTCTCATGTCTCTGGCTACACATGCAAAGAAAGGCAACAAGGCATCACCAACTGACTCACACAGCTATTGGTTACATTAGCAGAAGTTACCTTAGTTACAGAGTGACATATCTGTAAGTTCCAGTACTCATCCAAATTTTTGGGTTAGTCCATCTGAGCACAATGCTTACAAGGCATTCCCGTCTGTGTGGACATTAAGCTAAATGTCACAGTAATCTTCTAGACAGAAGAAAAAAAAAGAGGGGGTGGAGAAAAAACAAACAGAGTATATTTCTGTGCTGGTTACAGAAGCAAAACAAAAATGTATTTGCCATGTTGGCAGAACACGAGACAGGCAAGGGAGAATGGGAAAAGATAAGGCCCTACATTGGTGTACTGCTCTTTTGAGGCTTGTTTGTGTAGAGGGACTTGTTCAGCACACAGAAAAATGTATACTCATGAGACAGAGGAGTTCGGGAGGTTAGGAATGGAATGTACCAGTCTGCAACCCTTGTGCCCAAGCAAGAAAACATTTCAGGAAGATATTCACAAACAAGAAGCTCCAGAATGAGCAGTGAGTGCACAAAGAAAATATTTTTTTTAATTTTTTTTTTCCTCCTCAAGAAGACATCAGTGCATTCTTGGGTCAGAGTAACAATTCCTTCTTTAGTCTTGTGCACTCGCGTGCTCTCTTTTTTTTTTTTTAATATAATTCAGCTCATCTCTTAGCAACAACTTTAGGCACTAAAGGAATCTGGCTTCTTATTCTCTTGTAAAGTACAAACCCCTTTTGTATCAGCTTACGTTGTTCCAAGCGCAGAGAGGATTTTCTTTTTTTTTTTTGCCTCTCCTCCGAAATACCTGTCACATTTGTAGGATAAATGGAACTTAACTTTCAGTCTTATAGCTTATGGAAGCATTTTTTAATCATACTTTGTCAAACCAGCTAGCTTCATAGCTAAATTTCCTTCTCCAAATCATCATCTTCATGATTAGGGGACTGCCTATGAGAGACTGTACGGTTCTACAGTGTTACAACATTCAGCCTCTACGTGTATAGTAGTACAGGTGCAGCAAACAGCAGAAATCCTTGATTCAGATAAGGCATATTAAATATTTCCTATCCAAAACAACTGTGTTCCTAACCCCTGAGACCTACTGCAAATCCAAAATGCATGGATTAGTTCAGCCTGAATTTTCCTTATTTATTGGAGAGTGGCTATTAGCAGCAAGCAAGGAGATGGGGGTCAATACTGTTGTCAGACCTATCATTTTTAATTTGGTTCTTAATTGCAGTTACTCTTTGTCTGTTCCAGCATAGGCAAAACCCCTCCACAGTTAGATACAATATATTGTTAACCAGCACATCTTGATTGACCATAATGGAACAATTTTGCTTTGCAAAGTACTGAACCTAGTTCCAGTTAAGTGACTTAAAAAATGGATTAAAAATACAGCAGATGGGTTCCAGATCTAATAATTTGTTTCTAAAACCTAGTAGTCCAGTGATGTCTGGAAAAGCATTGTATGGCTCTAGTAAAGATATTACTGATTACAGAGAGACATCAGCAAGCCTAAAATGGAAAGCATGCACTTATCTGGCCATGTACTTTCCTGTATCTTGCCAGTTCGGCACTTTTTTGACCATCATATAAAACATTATCAAAGAGACCAAATAAAAGCACAGGTCATCTGGGTCATACTTTTCTTGCAGTATAACAATAGGGAAGTGATACTCTGAGTGAACCTCTCAGAATCACTCTGGATAAACACTCTCCCACGTCACACAAACTTCCATCAAGGAGACCAACACTAGAATTAGTAGAAGAAGCAAAATTATATCTTTCCTTAAAAGAATGTGTTCCAGCTTATCAGAATGAAGGTCACAGGCAGGGCAGTTTGGCTTAAGTTGTGGTTACCCACTACTTAGACGTATAAGCATCTTTCACAGAGGCTTCTAAACTCCTAAAACAAGAATGTGGGGAAGGGATGAAAGTATCAAAGTCCGTAATTATTTTTTAAATTCCCCATCTCTCTCAAATGCAAAATAGGGTAAAAGCGAGGGCTGCTTCATGTTTCCAGAACAAAAATTTTCACAGAAGCCAAGTGACAGCTGACACACCCGACAGCTAAATTCCATTCCTAGATAGTCCAGACTCACAGTTTTAAAATTCAGGGACAACAGTGGTAGAAATGATCACAGAAGTTGGCTGCAAAAAATTACAGAGGATAACCATGCATCATTTAAAACTTAAACCAAAACACACTCCCCACCACCTCTCAAAAAAAAAAATAAATCTCACAACCCAACACTACTCTCTATCATGCTTTCATTCTGAATGGGGAGTGTATCAGCGTAGAGATCGTTCTCATATACATAAGAATAAAAGATCAGATGTGTTGTCCCACAACAAAACCAAGCTCCCTTCTGTGGATAGGGTTAGCTCTTCAGCCTAATTTTAGTGGCTACAACGCACCACATACGCTACTATGGATTTCTATAAAGTTTCTCCAAAGCTGACACAATGTCATCCATCAACTGTTGCCAGAAGCAGGTGTAAGAGCTACGTTGAATTTCTTTTTTAAAATTAATGAATTTCATTTTTTTGCCATTGTAAATGTAAAAATAAACTCTGAAATCCTGGAGACACAAAAAGAAAACTAAACAGAGGCCCAGTTTCTTAAATTTTCCCAGTGTGCACTTGTATGAGATGTTTGCAACTATGCCATCAAGAAAGGAGGCCATGCTGTCAGTGACCTGTCACTGCCCTGGACACCTGCCTCAAGTCACGGAGAACCCGATTGTTAGGTGGCCCCAGCTATCCCTCTTCTGTAGGAACAGCACTTCCACTCATGCATGAAGCTGTCCCCAACTGTCCATCCAGTTAACCATTCTCCTCCTCTACTCATAAACAATAAAAAAGGCAAAGACTACAGATTAACTCCAGTTTTGATAGTACAGAATTAATGCTATTCCTATTTTAATTCATGAAGCCCAGTGCCAATAAAGATCTTCCAGTCAGGATGAGCATTTTCAATTCCTCTGCTGTATCATGCTCCACTCTGTTCTTTCATTAGCTGCCTCCACAATCTCAGTACGGAACTGAAAGTTCAAGAGATAAGTGCTTTATCTATTATACTATTCAATTCCTCTCAGAACACTGACTTTTAGTTAATTTTGTTGTTGTTAAAACCCTTTGTTCCCCTTCTGACATTTAGAGGTTTTTAGTGCTAAATATATAATTCTCTGCCCCATAATATAAAGAAGTGGAAAAATTTTTCATTAATAGGACATTTTATTGTGATTAGGGAGACCAACCCCATAACCTTTTTAGACTTTTAAAGATAGCATTATTGTTTAGCTACAGGTGTGTTTCAGAGATTCCAAGCAGCAGAGTTTGGTAGCTAAAAGCAGAGATGCCATATTTTAGACAACTGTTCTTAAGTTTTCAGGTGTCTCAATTCACTTGTCCAGCCCAAGGTGGTGTATGCGTGCATTGCCCGTTTATGTGGACAACTGGCTGTGGCCCGCCAAATGACATTTCTAAAAATACGGTGCAAAACAACAGTACACATTGCAAACATAACAAAGGTTAATTGAAATCCATTGTCAAGGAGATCCCCTACAATTTCCTGACTCCAAATTTTGCCAAAAAGCCTGAAGGAAAACCAGAAGTGCTTATGAAATGCTACTATCATTATTCAGGCAATCGCATTCAAATACAGAAGCCAAGTTTCAAACACTGAAACATAAAGGCATTCACACTTCAACTGAGCTTTCCAGAGTACGATTCAGAACACAATGCATTACAGCTTTTAAAAATCAAATGGAGAGGCTATTTCTAATAAGAAATAATAATTGTTGTCATTTATAAGCAGTGTTCATACTCAAAAGACTCTGAAAGAGGCCCCCAGATAAGTCAAGTCAAGCTTAAAACTAAATTATTGTCATATGGCCACAATCTAAGCTAAAGTTTGTGTCAGAGATTGTGGGAAAAAGGAACCAAAAAAACCCTACATGAAGAAGTTACAGCTGTGGTTTGGAATACACATGAAGCAGTTTTCTGCAGCTCAATGAAAAACAATCACTCTTAAAGAAACATAACAGCAGAAATAGTGCTGTTCAAGAGGCATAACGCCCTACATTGGACATATTTCAGTTGTTTCTTCAGTGAGCGATGACTAGTTAGGCAGATTAAGTTTGGCATTTTAAAAGGGAAATAAGTTGGGAATCTGAAAACACCAGAGTTAACAGCCTTGAAGCCTATCGCATTTTCTTTCAACAGAGCCAAAAGGAGATCACCACCTCTCTGGAGAAAGGAAAAATTATAAAAAGGTTAAGTGAAAGAAAGCTATGTTCGTGATTTATGGAATAGTTTTCCCAAGAAAGACAGATTATTTTTGTTAAAGTTATTCACCTTGTTGCCTTTTTTTTTCTCCTCTCTGCTTCCACAGAGGACTTACATCTTCACTGTCCTGCTGAGCTCACGAGTCTTCATTCACCCACACGAGCTCCTGGCTAAAGTGGGGCAGCTCTGCATTAAACAGAAGCAGCAGCTGGAAACGGGGACTGAGGCAGAAAAGGTAAATGAACCATTTCGTCCTTCAGTTAGCTGTGCTACTGTTGTTTATTTCCCACTCTTTCTTTCTCATTCTAAAGCTAAATAGAGTGATAAAGAAGAAATTGAAATTGTAATTGTTGTGTGTTACTGGATGCACTTTCATTTGGGTATTTTGTTCTTGAAAAGCCTGTTCCTTCTTCATGAGCCACAAACATAGGTCATGTACTACCTTACCGGTTGGGTACAGTGGCTGGAAATGTAACTCAGTTTATGAGCTACAGGTCGGTGCTGTGCACTGGAGCAGTGTGTAACTGCCGTGAAACCTGCCCAGCAAGTCGCTTTGCACTTTTGGGCTTTCATCAAGTTAGGTCTCTTTCTTGAATCCAATCCCCCTTTGTCCAGTCACTCACCATCCCATTAGAGTTGAGTGCTCCATTGTAGGTTATTGGTGGGGTGTTTTAAGTTGGTGTAACAGTAAATCAGAATGTACCTTGCATGAAAGTTAAGGGCTGCACTATTTACACTGGTAGCCTGTGCTAACACGTGACTATGCAGTTTTACTACAACCGATTACACCAAACTGGGTCAGTTTATGAAATGCAGTTAGGTCCACCTAAGTCTCAACTTTATGAAAACTGAGTATTGAAGGGCTTTGGACTGAAATTGAAGTACCAGAACAGCCCAAGCTGGCATTCAAATACAAGCAACAGAAACAAGGATGAAGTATTTAAAGACCTAAACTGTTCAAATCCTAGGCACATTTTGGATCCATTCTTGTATGGTGAGAAATTACATGCTCACATTCCTGATCTTCAGCATGTTGATAGTCCCATTTTTTTTTCTCCTGGTTGTATCAGGACTCCAAGTGGGGACCATAATGAGCAAAACTGATTTGGCAATATAGGGTTTTTGACAGCAATACTAACCTAAGGGCTTACGTCTCACTGACTGTTCCTGGGGCGCAGTCTCATACTATGTTAAAAAATTACTCCACAGGAAAAACTACCCAAATGAATTTCATCCAGGTCAGTCCCTTGATCTACTCAAGAAATAACTACATAACTTGTCATGGAGATGCTGGGGAATTCCAGGGGTAGGGGAAAGAAGGTGCAAGAACCGCTACATGCAGCTTAGTACAGAGGGGCAATAACCGTTCCCATCACCACTGCCAAACTATTTAGTGACTGAGCAACCTCAAACTGATGCTCTGTAAATTGTAATTGTTCCTCAGCAGCACCTAACTGAACAGCAGAAGTGGGAACTTGCAAGAGATGCTGGGACCATCTGAAACATGGAATGAGCAAGACTGACCTGTAGATATAGGAAGACAACTGCTGTCAGTAGCCAGTGTCAAAATACACCTGTGAAATACTTGGATTTAAACATAATGGCATACATGATGAAATTTTTGTGAATAGCAATACACTTCAGAGATTTTAAAATTAAAACAGTGTCTGGGGACTACATCACCTGGCTGTTCACAGTTTTTAGTGGTAAAGTAGTATTATTCTGGCTTTTCAGCAGATGTGTTAAAGAAAAAAAAAATTATGCTATTTCACTTCAGTGTGGAAATCATGACATCCTAACAATAGGATGTAAAATAGAGCAGCTCATATTCCCAACACCCACGCTCTTACACCTTCTGCTGACAATTTGGAAACGGGCCTACAGGAAAACCAACCAAACAGCAGGGTGACAATAAAACATTAGTGTTTGGGAGGTTGCTTTAGTTTACATGCTGGCTGCTTTTTCTCTGGATCCCTTCCTACCCCTTTAATTAAAAAAAACAAACAAACCCAAACAAAAAAAACAACCTGTAATTTTTGTCCTGCCCAATAAACACAAAATTATTGTAAAACACTACATCATCTTCTGCCATCCTGCTCAAATGTTTGCTTTACTGTTCTCTACAGCAAGCACCAGTATGTTTGTCATGGTTAAGCCCCAGCCAGCAGCAAAGCACAATGCAGCTGCTTACTCAGTGCTTGCTCACCCTTCTGCCCTCAGGTGGGATGGGGGAGATATTCAGAAAAGAAAACCTCCACTCATGGGTTGAAATAAAAACAATTTAGTAGGACAGCAAAGGAAGAGGAAATAGTAATGGCAATGTTACTGATAAAGGAACATACAAAACCAAGTGATGCACAGTGCAACAGCTGCTCACCCCTTGTGACTGATAGCCTGTCCTCAAGCTGCGAATCCCCCTCATCCAACTCCCCTCAGCTTATACACTGAGCATGACATCTTACGGCATGAAGCATCTCTTCGGTCAGTTTGGCTCAGCTGTCCTGGCTGTGTCATCTCCCAGCTTCTTTTCTACAAGAAGCTGGGAGAACAGGGTTAGTATAAGAAACTGAAAAGGTCCTTGACTTGATATAAACATTGCTCAGGAACAACTGAAAACATTAGTATGTTATCAGTATTCTCAGCACAAACCCAAAACATAGCCTTCTACTAGCTACTGTGAAGAAAATTAACTCTATTCTGACCAAAACCAACACAATATTTTACAGAACAGTTTGGCCATCAGCATTTGCAACCATTTGCTTTTCTATCTGGCAACAAATAAAACCTCATTTCACATGCAGCATGGAAATGCTCGACTCAAGGCACTCTACATATTCACAGTCATAACCCATTAAGGTATCATCAGCTACCAGCACCTTTTAATTAAGTGACTCCGTAGCAGGAAATAGCTGGCAAAAGTAGTTAAATGATCAGCTCTGATCATTTCTGACAGAGTTTGCTTATGCAAATATCTTAAGACAAGAAACTGGCTGACTTGTTGCCTGGATAGCGTGTGAGCTGAAAAAGTGGCAAGGAGCCAGGTTTTGAGCTTACATGCCACAGAACTTATCATTCCTTTGTTTTTTGACATTACTGGGTAGCCAAGAATCCTATAGAAAACAACACAGAGAAAAGTGGATTAAAAAGAACAACACTCTGGGATGTCTTGGAGCCTGCTTAGAGTCCTTTTGGTTTCACAGTTTAAGACGTAAATTATAATATACAAGGCAGTAGTTAAGCTTGACCATAAAGGTTAAAATTTAACCCTGCATAAGCGTTTTAGAGATTGGAAAGACCCAAACAAGATTGTCACAGAAAAATAGCATGTGTATAGTATTTTCAGTGTAAAAAAACCCCTGTAGTTAAAACTGTGGTGCATTGTTTCTGCAGCACGAGGGTATTTTTTAAATCAAAAGTTACAGTAATAATAACAGTAATAATAGTAAGAAATAAAAAGAGAAAGTAGAAGTTAGTTTATATTAAGTTTGTCGTGACTCTCTTGAAATATGCAAGTCTTCAAAAATTGTGATTTCCCTCGATTTTTGTCACCACTAAGTTCTTTTTAGAATCAAAACAATACTCATAACTGGGTCATTGTCATTAAACTTCCCTTTCTTACACGCACAGTATTGCTATTGCCCTCCTTTCTAATTGGTAGTTGTTTCTTAGTCCTGTCTGTCTTGTCTCACGCAGAACGAGGCTGAACCACAGTACTTAATAGAATTATTTTTCTTCTCAAAGAAATATTTTTAGGAGAAGTATTCCCATAGGCTCCAGAGAGCTCTGTGTCAGGCCTCACAAGCGGAGGCTCACATCTGGAGCAGGACTACTGAAAAAGTAGGTTGCTAAGTTTATTGCAAACATGACAAAAAGGAAAATGCATGCTGCTACCCACATGTCCGAGAGATTTCTATCTGGGTTATCACAAAGCATTTGCATCAAGCCTGTCACGCTGCTTTGGGTTTCATCAGAGCACACACTGAACAAGAATCTCATGGTTGGCTATAGTGATGGTTTTTAGTGTCACTCTCAGAAAGCATACCTGATTTTCATGAGCATTTAGAGCACTGGATAAAAACATTAAGCTTTTTTACACCTGAAGAGCAATTATATAAAGAGTAACATGGTTTGCAGTTTGTCTTGCCAGAGATGCTTAGCTTTCCATCCGGAAAAAAGCAAACCCAACAAAAGTTCATTAGTAGATATATAAGATGGGAAGTCAGTGTTTATATGGAGATGCTTGCCTAAGGAAGACTTTTTGCAGCCTTCCTTCCTCCATCCCTCCTTTTTTAGTTTCTGAAGTTAAAAAGAAAGAATAGACAGGATAATTAGTACCAAAACACAGTTCTGTAGCAGCTTTTAGTAAACAAAAGGCTGAGTAGGCCTGTACCTGTTAACTTTAATTGAATGGAAGCACACCGGCTGGCTAATTAATTCTATCACCACCTACAGCTTATTCTTTTAATAATGTCAGGCTCCATGCATTTCCTAGCGAAGAAGTATAAATTGTCCTTTCCCTAAGGCAGATAATAATGGGAGTTTTGAGGACAGACAATTATAATCTGGAACTCTGTCCCACATTGCTAGAAATACCTTATAGCTGGGCTCCACAGGAGTGGCATTGGCAGAGATTTCTTTGCAGGCATGCCTACTGCTGGTAAAGAGAATGGCGATGTTTTCTTTTTGCCCTCACTATCCAACTATTCTGTGCTTCGTTCACTAGCAGGATCAATTAAATGCTATCAGTAAAAACGTCTAGGAGAAGCACGCTAGCAGAATAGTCTGCAGCTCTGGATTAAACAAACAAGAAAATCTCCTTCAGATGCACAAGGAGGACTAGCTCATTTTCAGACTGAAGATTCAAGAATGCATGGTTTAAATTCAAAGTTCTTATTAATCAGAATTAATATTCCCACTGACTATACCACCTTGACATTAAAAAGAGGCAAAGAATAGCTTAGGTTGGTAGACTTCTGGTTTTGATTAAATAAACTGGGACATTGGATGATGTTTTAGCAGGAGTTAGACCAATTCTTGGAAGACATTCTCTATTTGTTTTAAAATACATCAATTTCCTGTAGTGACACTCACATGCTAAGTCACCTTCTGTAACTCCCAAGAGGCTGATGGAAAGCGCAATGAGGAAAGTGCACTGTGTGTGGGGAGAAGGAACTGCTGTGTAGTGGGACTTCCGTAGCTTACGCAAGTGGGGGGATACACACACAAATGAAACCTTCCTCTTTCTCCCTAAGTGCATCACAGGTTGAGTGGGAGGAAAACGTAACTTCGATTGAGCTTTGGTTCATCTTGTTTGTTAAAAGTGTTCTTAGCACTCACACTCCCAATTTTACAGGAGTGTTCCCTTGGATTTACTGGTGCTGGCCTCTGTTATGATAGTGGAGTAATTGCCGTCCAATGCAGGCCTAACTGATGAAAAGCCTTACAAGAATCACAGTGACAGAAGAACTTAGAAAACAGCTCTCCCTCCCCTTTCTGTGGCTGATAGCTCTTTGAGTAAGAGCCAATACTTTTTATTTTCAAAGTCCATTCTGATTTATATGTCATGGAGAGAGCACACACATCTTTCCTGTCATTCATTTATTTTAACATACAGCTCAATCTGGAAGGTCTGATAAATTCTACAGAACAAAAGTGTCTTTGTGAACGTTTCTCATGAAAGATGCTTGGTAGAGTACTGCAGTTTGTACGCATTTGAATTCAAACGCCAAGATGCTGCTTCAGATGGCATAAATCAGCATAAGTCCCATTGACTACAATCAAATAAGTCACTTAAACTATTTTGTCATCTTCCTGGCTTTATACAGCTAACATTGAAAAGATGTTCAAAGTGTTTGTAGGAAACAATACTGAACTATCATGGAAGAAGGCTAAATCACACTACTTCAGAGTCGAGATCGCAGTTAAGTAGATTCTATTTTATCCCCTTCACCTACCTGTAAATGCAAACTATTTTCAAGGGTGCCTGGTTTTATGTGAGCCTTCATCAGCTAATTTACTCTGCAGTCAGAAAAGTCTATGGTTAGTAATCAACTCATTGTTTCTTTCTAGGCAAAGCTAAAATCCTTTGCTGCCAAAATCATTCAGCTCTTGAAGGAATGGACTGAAACTTTTCCCTATGACTTCCAAGATGAAAAATCCATGAAAGAGTTGAAGGAGATTGCTCACAGGATCACACAGTGTGATGAGGTAGGTGTGTGGGGGAGAAAAACTTTAAATGGGAAAGTAATATTTGTCAACCTTTGTACATAGTTTATCATATTATATATAAGCCCTTGCTCATTTAGAAAATACAGTATTTTCTAAATGGACTACAGCAGTTGCTAAGCTGTCAGTGTAACTGCAGAACATGGGCTGAGTGATGAACTTAATGGTACATTAGCAGAAACCGTCTATCTATAAAAACTAAGTGTAAAAGGAAGAGACAAAACAGTCACGACAATATGAAAGATGGATGTGGTGCAGAAGGAAACAGGAAAGAACAGTGACCATAATGGCACAATATAGTTAACTTTCATAATGAATTATGTACTTGGTATTATGCACTTTGTTACTATTCTATACTTCTTAAGTCCTGCAAGACATATCAACTAGTTGTATCAAGTGTACTCTTGCTCAAGGTGAAGATGCTTATTGTTTAATAGTTCATTCCCAGCTCCTAACAGTAATCAGCAGCTGTTTTGTTGCCACATTTCAGGTGACATGCACAGCAGTTCTGCAAAGGGAGTTATGGTTGAGCTCAGATAGCTAGTCAATCAGCAGTCTTAACAGCACTGAGCTTCTAAGCCTATGAAGAAAATTAGGCCTCATATAAGAGTTCTCTGAAGCAAACAGATAAAGCAAATTCAAGTAAAACAAGGGCTGTTTTCTGTTTGCTTTTTGTTTTCATGGGTTTTGTTTTGTTGGTTTGGGTTTTTCTTCTCCAACACTCTTAAAGCCTGCACTTCTTATTGAGAAAAATCACCATAACTACCAATAGAAAGAAGGAAGGATTTCATCAGGAACTGCAAGGGAATTAATTGTAAAGTGTTTGCATGAACATGAAGGCTTACTTAAAAGGAAGTAGAAGCTTCTTGTTGTTTTTTAAACCCACAGCTTTAAGATATTTTGGAAAACAATTAGCAGGAAATGTGAAGACAATTTTATTATGTGTTTTTGTTGCTTCAAGTACAGAGAAAATGAAGAACAACAGGTTTGACAGCACCGCATGAATCAGCGATAGGACAATACAATTAGGTGTAACCAAGTTGTCACAGGGAAGTACGTCAGTTTCTTTGCATCAGCAAAGCTGTTTACCTGGATGCTAATATGAAAGCGTCAGTGCCTTAGTAGGAGGGGAGAAGGAAATAGGATTATAATATGCCTTCTATTCCCCTTTGTAGACAAGGGTGAAGAGGTGTACTTTGGCAGAGACACTACTGTGAAAAGGGACTTGGCAGAGGTTTTACTCAATGTCTGTATGTTAGTATTTAAATTTGTCTATTACTTTGAGCTGGAAAGAAGTTGTGGCCTTTCTTTATCTTTCCCTTCACTCCCACTCTTACGTACAAATAAAATGTCATTTGAGAAAAACACGCCTTCATGGAGTGGCTCAGTGCTCTGGTGTCTGAGGCATCTGATGATTTGGATTAATTACAGCATCACTGTATTTATCCCCTTCACAAGTTTACAAAGTCCAGTTTCATCAGTGAAGAGCTATGCCACATCTGACCTATAAGAAACATAATTTCACACTTGAGAAAAAGCAGCTCTTGCTCTCAGTATTTCTTACCACAAGAAATTGCCCACACTGTGCTTCAGCAAGGGATTATAGTAATGATTTGGGGTTCTAGTACATGTTTTAGAGCTTTTCCAAATTCACCTTAAGACACTATTCTCCATACATAGGATAAAAGGTCAACTGAGAATTCACACAAAGCAGTGAGGTACTTGTCCTACTGATATCAGACAGCATACCAAATAGCTATAAGTACATGTAGGGTTGTGTCCCAAATGAAGTACAAATGTTTGACTTGAGACAAGGACAAATTATTGTATACTTACTGACTTACTTTCCAAAGTTCTAAGAAAATTTAAGGTAAGACCAGTAATGAATCTTCTAAAACTCTAAAGGGCATTTGTCAAAGTACTAAGACACTAATAAATTCACAGTAGCCTAAGTAAGCCTTAGCTTTTCATATCACTGCAGTTCTTTGTTCACTTTCACATAATATCTGTAGTGATCTCCCCTGCCTTCAAGTTTGATTCTCCATGATCCATATCTAGAAATTCTGCCTCCTCCCAAACACATGGCTAAGTCAGGCATAGCAGCTGAAGTCAAATCATTTGCAATAGAAAGCTCAGCATAGCAGAGAGCAGAATTAACGCTTTATTTTAGTCCCCCCACCACGCTCCCTTGGCAATTCTGAACACTTGTAGCACAGTGTTTGAAATGGCCCCAGCCAGCTGCTGTTCAGTGGTAATCCAGTTGCCTCAAGATGAGCTACACTGCCTTTAGCTTTTCATTTGATTTCACTTGGGAGTCATATTATTGCCTTGTAAAGCAACATTCTGACACGATTATTGTTTAATTATAGCATGCAATAGACAAGTATTCAGTAGTCATTGTCTCCCACATCTGCTACATAATTTCCATCATCACTGCACATTAGTGGCCTCTTAGAATGATCAAAGATTCATTGCAGTTCTTTCTGGCGTACCCAGCTGACCAGCAGAAACCAACACAGCAGGTTGTAAGCTAACAGTTAACCTTGTGGCTAACTTCAAGAGAAATAATTGACATGAAAGCAAGACAACAATTGGGTAGAAAAAGGGAAGGATTGTCTTTGGTAGAATTAGTTTTTCCAGCAGTAGTAAGAATAGGGTTGGAGAACCAGGGTCATTTAAAGCAGTAAAAGGAGGGATGGATGAGTGTGATTGGGATCAAGTTAGCTCTTTGGGGTTGACCTCATTGAGAAATGTCTGTAGGAGACAATCAATGGCAGAAAGAATTCAGCTTACCCTAGTTGTCAAAACACTGAATGATTATATTCCTGTGGCTTTACCATTATGTATCCTGCGTTTAAAATCTGCACCTGATGAACAGAAAAGTATTATAGTTGTCCAAGAACATGTCGTATACTGTGCTTTTACCTAAATCTTTGGACGCTATAGTTGTTCAGAGCCAAGCCAGTGACTTTTAGGGGTATATTGCTGGGCATAATGCAAATTCTCTGGATTCTGCCTGAGCTGGATAGACTTGGTCATCAGTGAGTCTGATCAGAATGAGAAAGAGCTTTCTGGCACTTTGCACACAGAGAATCCAGGGAGCTTTGTACAAGCAACTCAAACACCTTTCATTATACCTACTTGTAGGTTGTTTACCTCGATGCCTTTGAAGTGGGGTACTAGCCAAAAACTGCCGCAAGGAATGGACCAGCCAAGCAAGTGAAAGAGAGCTGGGAAAGCAGGCAGGCATAACGATGTTATAAAGCTGTGTGGGCAGTTAGGACAAGCTCAGTTGTCACAGGATGATCAGCTCAGATAAGATGAAAGAAAATGGATAATAGGCGTTTATTTTACCCAGTCAGAAATTCTTTGGCTATATGTGTCTGCAAGAGCTACAGATTTTTAGCAGTCATTGTTTCTGCCTTGCGCTTAGGAAAATGGAACCGTGAAAAAGATCATTAGCCAGATGACACAGAACCTCCTGATGGCCCTCTCTGCACGGAGCCAATACCAGGAAATCAGAGAGAAATTCCGGCAACCTGTTACTGACAAAGGCACCATCCTCAAAACCAAGCCACAGTCAACTCAAAAGGACATCCTGAGCGTGTGCTGTGACCCTCTGATCTTGGCACAGCAGCTGACCTATATCGAACTGGTGAGACACTAATTTGTGAGACACTAATTTAATTTTCCATTTACTAAACTTGAATTTACGCATCAATATGAATTTTGCTATTGCTTCACTGAAAGCTTCCAGTGTTTTAATCAAAAAATACCACATAATGAACAAGAAGAATTAGATACCCTGATAAAAACACCTCTCATCTACATTGTGGGGACATGAAAGTTCCCAAAAGGTTCTCCTAGCTGGCTTTATTGAAGCGTTTTTCACTGAACTCCCTGTTTGTCTGCACAGTGACAACCTCTCATCTTTCCAAACACAGGAAAGGGTGAACAACATTTACCCAGAGGATCTGATGCAGATTGTCAGCCACATGGACTCCCTGGATAATCACAAGGTACAAGAAGGGGTACAGAGGGAAAAAGAAACAAAGAATAACCAGGGTAAAGAACCTCTGTAATTTGAGTATACCCTGTGCAAGAAAGGCTGAAATTTTCTAACCTTCTTTAGGATCACACCTTGTAAAATATCCAACAAGATTCTATTAAGACATGAAAAGGATGCTTAACCTTTGCTATGTTAACTTTATCATGATACACGACAGGATTAACATGTGGCCTGTTCTTTTACAGTGCCGTGGCGATGTGACCAAAACCTATAATTTGGAGGCCTATGACAATTGGTTCAATTGTCTCAGCATGCTGGTGGCTACAGAGATTTGTCGGGTAAGTATTTGTAGAAAACAAGATAGCAAAGTGATCCTGGCCTTAAGGACAAAAGGCAGGCAGTGGTCTAATAGAGATTTAGACATTAGCTATGCAATTAAAGATAATGGCATTACTCAAGCATTAAATTATTTGCATGCTTATATGATTAAGAGTTCATGGCTACATTGGGCTTTGCATATATTCTCTAGTTTTGCGTAGCTTCAATAATAGCATTAGTCATTCAGTGAAATGGAACTTGGAATTTTGAGTTAGGAGCTCTTTTGGATTTGTTGGGTTATTTTGGTTTTTGGGTTTGTGTTTTGTTTTGTTAGTAAATTCTCAAAGATGCTCATCTTTAAACACAGATTTACACCTATAAACAGCTGTCCTTCCACTGCATTTAGGTATCAGTAGTACTGTCATATATTCATTTTTGTTGTAGAAAAGTCAGGAATAATATTTTCTTCAGAAGTCTGAAAAGAAAGCGGACTGCTGGAGAGGTTTAAAAAAAAAAAAAAAAAAGAGACCAGCCGTATTAGAGGTTAAAGTAACTTCTATCATGTAAAAAGAAAAGAAACAGAAGGTATACTACCCCAGAAACCTTTTTTTTTCATGGGTATTCTCTGGGTTTTTAGATTACTATTGATACGCATCAGTTCTAGCAAAAGGAAAAGCTTCTCTCTATTCCTTCTTGGTCAGTAATCCTTCTGTGGAAATCCAAATGCCTATTGCAATTTCATGAAGTTGTATATATTGATCCAAATCGCTTAAGATTTTCTGTGACTGCAGGAATTTATTGCAAAAACACACCAAGACAACTTCCAGAGCTGGCTGGTCTGGCTAATATGTCCAGTAAACCAGTCAAACAAAAAGTTTTAGCATACCAAGGGCTAAGCCAAACCATTCATAAAAGCATCTGAAAAACACATATTCATCGTCACGTGCTAGGTCCTTGGCATATTTGCATGAGTGGGAATTTGTATATTGGATCATTGTTCCTACCTGCTCTCAAGAGGTCATTTACAAGAACACACAGTGACATGAGAAAGTCAGGACATGGCAACTGTTCTCACACATTCAGATTACATGCCTCTGGTCCCAAGTCTGTCCACTGCTTTCCCTCCTTCTTCAGAGGTTTTAATTTTTTGCACATATATTCTTTCTCATAACAGCTTCATGTTATTGCCCTTTTCCAGTAACAGGAAATAGCTGAAAGTATGCAGCTTGTTTATAAAAGATTCCCCAAGACATTGAACTTCATTTATATACAAAAATCTACACTCCTCCACAGCTACACAAATAAATGATAGTAGCCCCAAACACTTCTGCCATTTTAATAAAAATAAATCTTAACAAAATACCCTCGGGCCTATACACTCATAAGATTTAGCTGGATAAAATCTTCAAATGCTTATTCAATCAACCTGTTACAATGCCTTTGACTGAATATCCCATCCAAAATTTAGGCCATCCCTTCCCTTTTAACAGGCCTTCAATTTTTTTTTTTCAGATTGTAAAGAAAAAGCAGCGTACAAGAATGGTGGAATTTTTCATTGATGTGGCAAGAGAATGCTTTAATATTGGAAACTTCAACTCAATGATGGCTATTATCTGTGAGTATCCTTACCAAAGATGACAAAAGGCACTCCAATTTACAACCTGACTGGCCAGACTATGCTCATACTTGCCTTAAATTTGCTGACCACATCAGCACACACATTTCTACAGGGGCAGCAAGGAGCAGTGGCAGATTAACTTGTGGGTGGGCGGGTGTTAGCTACAGCTTTCATTTGTCAGGCTGAACTCCCTTCCAAAACATGTTGTGCTGATACATAAACAGTGTTATGTCAGCCCTGTATTTTTTTTTAACTCAGTTGTTTATTTGTCTCTTCTCTCTCCATTCAGCTGGCATGAACTTGAGTCCTGTGGCACGGCTAAAGAAAACTTGGTCTAAAGTCAAAACAGCCAAATTTGATGTTTTAGAGGTATGTATAAAGTTTAGACTTCGTACAGAAAACCACCAGATAGTTTTATCCAAACCTCTGCTGTGGAATACAGATCACAGAGGCACCTCTGTCAATAGTCACCGGCATATAGACATTAGGGAGAGTCCTGAATTTCAAACTCCCTTCTTGCCTGCAAAGAAAAACAGACACAAGTTTTCTTCAGGCTATTTTCTCCAATTAAACATCAAGGTAGTTTTCACTGAAGTGAATGCCATATTGCTACCCTTAAAACTAATTGGAGTTCTCCATCTAGTGGAGATGGAATGAAAACAAAACTTGGTCAAAAACGTCATCAGAAAGATTGGTGGTGACAAGTTAGATCTATTTTTTCTCCTGACAGTTGTTTATCATTTCCTTTCATTCTTCCATTAACCATAGCAAAGCGTAAGTGTAAAGCGAGTACAGAACCCTCCTTTCCAACAAATTAGAAAAACCTGAATCCAGGCCTGATCAGTATAAAGGTACTCTACCTTGAAAGTTTAAAAAGTGGCCCAACAAATTTGTAAGAAATGAACTCTCTGATGGTTAGATCAAAGCTTTCTGTATTTAGGAAACAGGTATTACTTGACTGCCTTTTTCCCCCCTCTGTGAAAATAGCATCACATGGATCCATCAAGCAACTTCTGTAATTACCGCACAGCCCTGCAAGGAGCAGCACAGCGATCTCAGACTGCCAACAGCAACCGAGAGAAAATAGTCATCCCAGTTTTCAACCTGTTTATTAAAGATATCTACTTTCTGCACAAAATACATATGAACCGCTTGCCCAATGGGCAGATAAACTTCAAGGTAGGACTTTGTTATTCATAGAAACTGTAATGCTAGCTCAACAATGTACGTTCCAAACAGCTGCCAGTTTTGAACTTCTAGCTCATTATACTACCCATTCCTTCAGTATTGCTGTGATCTAGACATAAACCATTATGACTATGGGAAATGATTTCACCAAATATCTGTGAAAGCTTGCAGTTGCTGTGCTTATATTACATATCCAGCAGATCCACAATTGCATATAGTGAAGAGAATCCATAAAACTGCTGGAATGTAATTGCCTTCCACTAATACTGTTAAAAGGTACTGAGATTTCTTTTTTTGTTAGTTTTACATGATATGGGACAGATGCATTGTAAAACATAAAATTCACATAAGCAGAACCAAATGGAATAACATTAATTTGTTACTGAAACTGATGCATGAAAAGATTGAAAAGGATTTCAGAAGCCAAGCCACCAGTATTAAGAACTATTTAAGTAATACAAAAATAGTCTAATGTTAGCTAATTGGAAAGGGAAATTTCTTCAAGGAATTTCAATTTTTTCTTCCTACAACATTGAAAAATAAAGGAAAGAACTTGAAGTCAAGAAGTGTAAGAATTTTAGTGTACCACGTACGATGGCAGACAAAAATTGGCCACTCCTCATCCCTGCACCCTGCCTTATGTTCAAAAGTGTTTGGGGGAAGCGGATGGCAGTGAAGAACGGGAAGTTAACTTTTCTGTGGCAGCAAGCCATCCTATCTGATCAAACGTTAATAGGTATCTTCACCCTAAATCATCAGTGTTAGCTAGCTGTAACTGCTACACACAACCAGCAGGTGGTATTTAGCAGGTCTTCAAGGGAGTTTCTACAGGTTCTGGATTCTCTCTCCCTGACTAATAAACATATATGTCCAAAAGACCCTAGCCTGGCAAAAGTACTTTTGAAGCTTTTTGCCATTATTAAGGCTGGGGAGGGGGGGCACACAGAATATACAAGAAAAGCCCTAAAAATTAAGCATTTCTTAACATAAAGAAACTACAGATATTCTTTCATTACTTGAATTTTATTTTGTTTATTTCTTAAATTTAAAAAGTGCTTTATGAAAAAATCAGATAGGTCACATTTCATTTAAGTTGAAGGTGGAAATGTAAAATTTAAAGTAAATAAAAACCATTTACTAACCCATTCCACTCCAAGGCAAATTTAGAGATAAGACGCAGAAAATAAGCCAGTAGCACTTTATTATAGATAAAGAAGAGTTTGGTGATGAAAAGAATAGCATGATAAAGACCAGGCAGTTAGCAGGGATATGCTACTCAAAACTTGGGAGGTTAACAACATGTGAGGAACTAGGAGCAAAAGGGGGACGCGAAGGGCGCAGTAAAAACAAAGGATGACAAGGAAGATGACCAAGTAAGGGATAATAAGGGAAGCACCATGGATAAGAAGATGACTGAGAGGTTCTGAAATTGAAACAACAGAACTAATATTTGACAGAAAACAAATATGATTTTAATGATATTCTTTTAATTACCTCATGCAGAAGTTTTGGGAAATTTCAAGACAAATTCATGATTTCCTGACATGGAAGCAGGTTGAGTGCCCTTTTGAAAAAGACAAGAAGATCCAGAGCTATCTACTCACAGCACCCATTTACAGTGAAGAAGGTACAATCCTTTATTATGCATTATAGTGAATCTTCCTACTTGTTGAAATGCAGACAGAATATGCAGGTAAAAAAGTTAACATGCAAAAAATATTTTATAGGCACATACTATTACTTCCCTATTAGCTTCTGTTAAGAATAAACTTCATTATGAAGTCTGCTATGTTAAACCATCCCTGGATGTGTTTAAGAGACAGGTGGATGAGGTGCTGAGAGATATGGTTTAGTGGCAGACAGATACGGTTGGACTTGATGATCTCTAAGGTCTTTTCCAACCCAGTGATTCTATGATTCTAAACCTGCTATATTGTAACTCTAATTTTTGTTTTCAGTTAAAAACCCCACCTATCTGATTGTTATTATTTTGTTTACTAGCTCTGTTCATTGCATCCTTTGAAAGTGAAGGTCCAGAAAACCACATGGAAAAAGACAGCTGGAAAACACTCAGGTATGAAGCTTCTTCAGAACATGAGTATTTTCGTGGACATGGACAGGCTGTGATCATCAGCTTCCTCCCTTCTATTTGCATAAGAACACTTTTGCCCAAATATAATTTTTTTTTCCTTCAAAATTCAAATCTGGAAAAATTCAACAGGGCTTTGATTTTAATACAGCTTTTCCAGCCAGATCAATTCAGGCTGCAAGATCACTGGTGGGACTGTGAAAGAGAATATGCCTTGTTTAGGCTATCAAACACAGTAAAATAATTCACATTTGTAACAGTTTTCAGACATTATTTTCTCTGAGCAAGAAATATCTAGAGATACTAAAAAGATACTATCATGTATCATACCTACACGCACATCTTATAAAAGGATGGAATTTTATAAAAATAGGCTGAAAATTATTCATAAGAAAAATTTCTCAATAATTCCTCCTCCCTCGGAGAGGGGGAAGCACCTCTTCTATGTACATGATGAAATCAATATAGATCAGATTTCTAATACTGAGGCCAAAGCAGAAAGAGAGATGTAAACCTTTGTAAATCATGTTAAACATTTGTATTTGACATATCAATACTAGATAAAGAATAAGTCTGTCTGTCCTGAGCTGCCCTTGTGCTGTTATGACTGTACTGTCCTAGACGTGGCTGTTTCCCAGCGATGTCAGTGCTTCTTAGGAGGTTCACATAAGCTTTTCACTTATGACACCTACCTTGCATTAAATCTGATGCTGTTTGGCAAGTAGCACTTTACAATGACAGAGGAATGTATGTTATTTGCCTGAGCACATCTTAAGGGCCTGAAGTAATGTTATGAAGGTTAACTTCTCATTTAATTTAAAGTCAGTATCTTCATTGGAATTCATACATGGATTCCAGTTTATAGCAGATGAAAATCTATCCCTTGAAGAAAGTCCTCAAAAAGCTTATGATGCAAGACAGATCTATTGCCAACCTTTACCAAAACTGTAAAACTTCTTGTCATGACAGAAAAGATAAAATTATTTTGTATTGCTTCTGCAGGACAACTCTTCTTAATAGAGCCTGAGGTTTTTGGATCTCATCTGCAGACTGCGAAGCACATTAGATGAATATGTTTTTACAACCTGAAAGACTTGGACTGAGCTAAGAAAGACCTCACTGGCTGAGGTCTGTTTTGTATATACAGTAACTTTTATGAAATAAAATGTGGTAAATATTTCACATGTCAACCTTAAGGCACTTAAGTGAAGGGTTTTGGGGGTTTATTTTAAATATAAGGGCAGGGCCCTGTTCTCAGAGATGAAATGTATCATGGGAGATGGTATCCCCTGGGGAGATCTTATTCTATCAGCATCCAAATTTTTATTTTTTATTACTTCCACCAAAATAAATAAAATTTCAAACACACATCCCAGCTAAAGCCAGTGTTCAGGTTAAATACTCCATTGGACCAGTATCCTACAGAACACTCAGCATGTGTCTCTAGCTTTGAAGGGAAGGGTCTCCTTCAAATCAGGGATACCGTTCACATGTGTTAGTGTTTGTAGAGTCAAGGCCTTAGACATCTGCAGTAAGCATGTTCCTCTCCTACATCAGAAAATAGTGCCTTACAAGGTACTGATATCGTTTAGTGTACCTTCTATTACGCTGGACTGGAAGTAAAGAAAATAAAAATATGGATGTCTTGAAACCAGCTACAATGTACTTTTTAAATAAAGTGGAGAATATGGCACACGAAGTAGAGTATACCTGCCTGTAACACTGATGGTGCAGCAAACATATTTTTGTTACATGACTTGATGAGATAGGGTAACTGCTGGGGGATGTGCGTTTGTGTGTGAGTATGTGTGCGTGCATGTGTGAAGATGCACACATGTCTAAGTTTTAATAATTCTGGGAACTATCCTTTAAATTCTGGGTGTCAGAATAGTTTGTGCTTTCCTTTTTAAAAATCAGGGATTTGTTTTGTTTGATGAAGGATGTCTAACCTAGATTATCTCTGCAAAACAAGCTCAGTATGTTTTTTTGAAAAGTTTTGAAAAAAAAAAAAATACCACACATGAGCTACAGAGAGGGAAGTAAACTCGGATGTCCAATCTGAAGTTAAGGGTAGAATTTCCAAAGAAGCTCAAGAAGAGTTCATCACCACTGATCTGGGCATTTAATTCCCTTGGGTCCTTTAAAAATGCTAGTCTGCATTTACAGACAATTAAAGCAAGGATCAACTTAAGTACAAGCTTTTTCTAGTATTTATTAAGCCACAATGAACTGCCTGGGCCATAACCCATTGAAATCTAAGGGAAAACACCATAAGAAACTGGTTAAACCTTTGAACCCAGGTCAGTACCAGAATTAGAGGTGATCTGTAATCCCATTTCTAATTTCCCCTTTTAGCCTTGAGTTTAAACTTAATTTGGCTATCCAAATAGCAAAGCTTATGTTAAGATTCAACGTATTCATTTCCAGGAAAAGATATATACAGTTCAGGACTTACTTTCTCACCTGATCTCTCAATTAACAGAGAAAAAAATGGGCTTAATTTAAAAGCTATTACCCATGAATATCTACTCTCCAGTAATCATTCTCTTAAGGCTTGAAGGCTGGGTATTTGTAAAGATAATTACTTGAGCCACACAATTACTTTTTTTTTTTTTTTTAAACAAGGCCCTCTAGAGTTTACAGTGGTCACAACCTCACTCAAAGCCTTGCAGAGGACCTCAGCACAAGCTTCTTGAAAAATTATCAGGTCCAAGTAGATGGGTTTTTATCTTATTCTGCCTTCAGTTGAAGGGGCAAGATTTGCTGGACCGAGGGTCTGGTTTGTTCCAGCCCAGCAGACCCTTCTTGCTGAGTGCCTACAACCAAGAGCAGTGCCACTGTTTCATGTAGCATCTGCAATCACTTAGTAGAAATTATTTGCTGTACTGGCCATAGAGTACAGTGAAAAATTAAAGAGCCTTCCCTCTCTCCCTGTTTCACTCACCCCTTGACAAATACTTAAAAACAGAACAGTAAATTGGGGTAAGGAAGGGAGATAAATCAACATTTTGCTATTCCACAGCATCAAAGACAAACACAAGTAAGTTATACTAGAAGGAAGTATAAATACTGGTAACAAGAACAGCCCAGAAAGGGGGAAGTGATAATTCTTATGATCTGCTGCTATTTTTCCTGTGCTGAAGTACCGACCTTCAGCCTTGGATTAGAGTAAGAATATTTATACTGTATTATTACAGTGTTTTGCACTTTCAGAGATGTTCTAGCTAGTAACATTGTCGGACACTATATGAGGGATTGTATATCAGCTTCATTTATGTAACTGAAATTTAAAAGGGATGCTTAAAATTTAAGAAAAAAATATATATTTGAAATGCAATTTTAGAACACTTTCTGTAAATGTATAAAAAAGCTTTCACATGAATGTGCACTTCACTGGTCAATCAGTCCTAGTATATACTTGAAATCAATGCAGTTTCCACTTTGGTTCCTTTTTATTTCTCTTCCCTCAGTTTGATACATTCCCTAAATTCTGTGTTTTGCTATTCTGAGCTGAAATGCTAAATATAAAGCTGTACCATAAAGCAGGATATTCCGTGTTTGACTGGATGTGCTTGCATTAATAAAAAAAAAGAAAACTTGCTTCAACCAGGCTTAACGTTTTCTGTGGTTATTTTTCACTTGCAAACGGATCAAGCCACAAAACAGCGACTGAACAAAGCGAACCACCTGTGGAAAGCAATGTAGTTGCAATAAACTAAGTGGTTACTTAAGTTTAAATTTTGCCTTGTAAAGATACATTATGAAACATTTAAATATCTTCCAACAACTGCAAGAGCAACACTAAGCTGACAATATGTTGCCACTTCTAATGTGCCCTTGATAATAGCATTTTCTGCATTTGATACAGTGTCTCTGCTACAGATAATTTTCATTGTCTCAATGAAAGTGATTAACTGTTCCACTGTGTAAAAATATTTTGTGTGCCCCAAGGGTTGAACTACGGTTTTTAGCCTACCATATATTTATCCTTTAAACAGAAAAGTACAGAAAGGTTTGCTGGCTGCAGCACACTGCAGGGTTTCCTGTGGCAAGATTCTGTTGACATTTCAACACTCTGGGACCTTTGGTTGCAACTACTACCCTTTGTCATGCCCCAACTTTACAGGAGCAAAGCCATTTCTTCAGGGTCGCACAAGGACTAGACAGGCACAGAGCTGTGAGGAGAATCCGGCTTTCCTAACACACTGTCCCAGTGCTACCCACACTACCTCTTTTCACAGGGATCTAAGCCTTAAAAAGTCTGATCTGGCAAGTGCAGGAGCTCTGGAGGTCCTATGACCATTTTGAATCTCTTGAAAACTCTCTGGGGAAGCTGTTTTGATAACCAGACATCCTCATCAGACCCCCAGAGTAGAACAGTGCTGCTTTCAGTCATCATGGCTCATTAGAAAAGATAATGATGTTTACCAGCTTTAAGAGGATCAAGCAGACAAGAGTCTTCCTGATGGCCAGTTCACACTCATAATTAATATGCATATTACATCCTTGAAAACTCACTTCCAATTATGTCCCATCCAGTCATTAGGATAAATTAGCTATTTACACAGTCATAAGAGTAAACAATAAAATTGCTTTCTAAGCACTTAACAGCCCTTAGAGCACAACACAGTATGACAAGCAGTAACTCAATGCCAATAACATAGCTTAAGTTACATTAGCAGCAACTTGATTTATCAAGTTAATAGTTCCCAAGACACAGCTTTCTTTTAGCGAATGACTCACACAGCAAAAGTTAGCTGACAACTGGTATTAGTACATTTTTTGGTGGTTAAATCAGTAATTCTCCTGAGGATGTGCAGACAGATCTTCCCTCTTCAAGGTGCAATACATATAATTTTACCAGGTCAACCCCAGCTTCCCAATTAATCAGAAAAAGCCTGAACAGTGTTTGGAAGCAGTTTTGTCTGATGGGTGTCTGCAGCCATTACATAGGACAGAGTGTACAGTGAGATACTCTAAAAATATCAAATTGCAGAAGCACTTTATCCTAAACGGTTGGCACACACTATCAAGGAAGTTTCCAGGCCAGTGAGCAGGCAAGTATTAGTTGCTTTGAAATTCTTGCTTCCACGCTTGCCCCTGGAAAGGCAGAGATAACGGAGTGTGCTTTGCGGTTTCGCACATAAGATGTTAGTCTTTCAGAAGAGGCTCGCCTACCTTGACCCCTCCCCAAGGCAGGCTTAGGAAGAGAGGAACAACATCTGGGAGTGTATTTCTGCAGTAATTTGGAGATAAAATCTGAAGTATAACCATTTCTGTAACACTGTTCCTAACAGTAAAGAATTTAAATGTTTCTAATACTTCCAACATCGTAAGCAATTTTTAACATCAGCATTTTTGTGGATTCTTGATGCCACATTCAGCTTTTGCACAGAAAATAGATGCAGTTGATTGCTGCAAAATAACTTTTGGATATTATTTTAATAATGAAATATTAAAAAGCAACCAAGTACTATGTCATGCAGAGAGTGCTGGTGCAGTCTGATTGATATCCTGCCTTCTCCTCAAGGGATGTGATAGGGAAGAAATTCAAACCACCAGGAAACGCAACATGAATTTAAAATTATTAAGCCAAGAATACCTAAGGCTTCTAACAACTCATAATTATAAAAAGCACTTCTATATAAAAAGTCCTGCAAGAAACAGTGTTTGGCAAAACCAGCATACAGTGACTTGAAACTACTAGTAACACCTACCAGAATGGCTAACAAAACCCCAAACCCACGAACAACCAAAACCCCCAAACGCCAGGGCTGTTGTCACACAGGGGATTCCTGTTAACAGCTTCAACTCAACACAACGTGTGGGGACCATTTTACACGATTAAAATAAAGCTGAAAGTGAACATCATCCAAAGCACCAAACACCCCCATCCCATCTGGGCCAGGAAAGGAGAACCTGCAAATTTCATGGGAAGTTGCTTCCAATATTTCTAATTTTATCCAGATTTTTCAGATTAAGTAGATATCCTAAAATTAATATTATTGTTTGGAGGCAGAATTCCAGTGAGAGATGACAAGAGTCTCATTACACAAACAGAAAAGCACTTAACACCTTCTTAACCACATGAGTACGCTAAAGCCTTTTCTGATTGGTGGGTGTGGTAAACTCCAAGATTCTTGCTATCCATCCATGCCAGCATTGAAAGTTTCCTTTTAAATATTTAAGGGACATCCAGTTGTCCACATGCAATTCAAAGAAAATACTACTAAAC